CTCATAGCTTACTTATAATTCTTGGTATAATTTATTCATAGCAAAATTAATTAATGGTACCCAATAACAGCTCCTGTAGTCCACAATCTCAGTCAAGAAAAAGAACAAATCACTTTGAAATGGAATAATAAAATTATTATCAGAAGCCTATGCAAGTATTCATGATCAGCAACAAAATATCATATTTATCGTCCATGCTAAAGTGATTTTGCTTATACTTATACTTTGAGATATGGTGCAAACTCTTTCAGCAGGAGGAGACTCCATACAAAAATGACGATGGCTAACTACCTTTGGGGATCAAGTTAGAAAACAAAACTTTTTAACTTTTTACATGTGTATACTATTTTAGTATTTTTGTGAGATTTCATTTGGTAGAGATTTGGGAACAGCGTATTTTGTAACCAATGCATTTCAGTCATACCCACAACAAAAAAACGTGTAAACTTCTTCTGTGCGGGAGTCCCCATGTTAACAAAGAAAGAATATAATGTCTTGTCTTTCTCAATAAGAAAGAACAAGAAATGCCATCTAAAAACACAGAAGACAGTTCTGTTATGTGATCAACATTTTTGGTGGCTCCCCTGAAATCCTTGAAATCATGGCCCTATTTCCATCATCACACCATCTAACACCTCAATCTGCTGATGTAATCCTAGTTCGGGCTGAAACTATAAAATCGCTCACAGTTTACCTCACGTAAATGTACATGTTGGATTATTTTCACTAGTAACAACATTCCAAAAAATAACCGCTTTTAGGCTTGGCTAAATCTATACATTAAGATTTTGAAATCACGTCTGAGTTCTTTAGGTAAGAAGTGGGGTTGAGAGCTAGGTAATCCATGGTAATCGTATACCTATTTCATTAAAATTAAATGTCGTTACGGTTGTTGGCCTTCAGCTGTGTACTGCTTTTGTCGTGGAAAACAAAAAAACGTCGACTGGGTTATTTAAAGGTGGGCACAAACTAGGGCACATGTTGTTTGGGACATGAAGCGTGGACATGCCGTAGCGAGAGTTTTCCCCGTGTCCACGAGCTCGCTTTTGCAAAAAAGTTATGTTATGGGGAAGCAGAAATGAAATGACTTCAATTTTCAATGTTGCATCTTGTGCGCTGCTTTTGCCAACCGTTTCTGCTACTACATGCGTGCACACTAAAGAGATTGTCCTCGCTTCACATTCTCGTAATCAGTAACACGCTGCCTAATGCGTGCCATCAATAACGGTTAGAAGGGAAGACTGGAAGTGTTATTAAATTTTTACAAACATCAATCGATGCTAAATAATACTTGTAGTTACCTTTCTCGCAGTTAGTTCCTGTGTATCCAGATGGGCAGGTGAATTCATAGCCTTGAGTTGAGCTGTTACAAACGGTATCATTCATGCAAGGGTTTGGCTTACAGTTGTCAGTAGCTGTAATAAATATAAAGTTTAGCTCCTGTCTAAATACAATAAACATACTATTATAAGAACGCATTATAAAAAGAAAGTACAAGAAGAAAAGAAAGAAGGAAGTTTAAGAAGAAAGGAAAGGAAGAAAGAATCCTCAAAAAATGGGAATTAGTTTATATTAAAGGGTGCTTTAAATTGTGTTTGAACACCATTTCTTAGAACTTTTGAGTTTTTCTTCACTTTTTTTCTTGCATTTATTGTTTCTGTTTTTGTGCTTTTTTCGGTTTATCTGACATTCTTTAGACACCCAAGGTGTTATGTTAGCGAGGTTCCCTTTGGTCAAGAAATGGAAAAAAAAGTTATTATTTAGAGTGACTAGGTTTTTTTCGTGCCACAGGCGTAAAGCATTTCTTTAACGCAGCTTCCTATTCTTAGAAGTATAATTCTGAAGGTTTGAACTATCGCTTTAACCATTAGAAGTTTTAGCCACTCTGATATGCTCCCTTAGATTAGGAGAATCTTTGTTTACAGTATTTGCCTCATAAGCATGAGCGATACAGTTTCTGATGGAGCTACAAAAAACATTAGTTCTCAATAGGGAAAGCGCATAGCACGATGAACTGTCCCAAGGAATTTGAGCCCGATGTATTGAATACTTTTTGTTCGGCGCGGGTCTCAAGACCCCAAATTTTACAAATAATTTACGAGCTCATAAGCGCTTCTGCCCAGACATGTTGCAGTTTTTGAAAACCTATTTTTCCTTAAGTATTATGCCCAAACAACCAAACATTTCCCAAACGTTTTACAAGCTCTTTAAATGTGTGTAGTCAATTCATGTCTAGCGTGATACCTTCTCTACACAAAGTCGTATGTTAAAGAGGACAAATGTAAACAATGACGCCAGTAAAGATTCTCCAATAGTCGTTTCAATAGCATTAAAGAGGGGGGGGGGNGGCAAGGGGAGGTCTTGTCACGAAGTCACGATAGTAAATTTTCGATTTCAAGAATCACGAAACAAAAAATTCACTTTTCACAATTCTCGAACGTGTGCACGAAACTGTAATCAAAATTTGTACAAAAAAGTGCGTTCTTTAACTTTACCAATAATTTGCAGCTGTTGGAAAGCTGATATTTGAAATCTTCATTTGTTGGTTTTACTTTAAGAGACCTTAAGAGAAATATCGGTGATCAGGTGATCGGTGATACGGTGATCAGGAAATCAACGGGTTTATTAAACCTGTCAACATGTTTCGTTTGTCGCTACTCTCAGTCGGCTTGACTCGTGTTAAATTCACTAAGGTCACGG